CTCCAGGCATTGCCCATAATGCCAAACCTCCACAGCAATTTCAAAAGCACTCTTGGCACAGTGGAATCTTTCCTTGCGTAATGAAGGCAGGGTAAGGATAAAGGAGAGGAGAACTGCTGTTTTCTTCTGCACTCAGCTGTCAGAAAGAAACTAGCTATTTGGATTTGAACCTGAACACAATGATTGATTTTTAACTTTGGGTGATGACTGAAGGATCAGACTCTTCTCCCGAAGCAGTCTGTTGTGAGTGGAGCTGTTGTAATTTATTTAAACTATGAATGCAGAGCTGCTGTGCATTGAAATGGTCATTTGTGTAAAATAGTTTTGGATCTAGCACTTTATTTTAACAATGGTCTTTCAAACAGCTGCTCAGAAATTATACCACTTTGTGTTATTAAATAAGTCACATCTCTGGAGTTTTTCCTAAAAGCTGAGGTGTTACTAAACCACAGATTTAATGAGCTTGAAGGATTTTGTTTAACTGCAAATGATGGAGCCAGTCCCTCAGGTGGGAAGCTGATGCCTGAGCTCTTTCTGCCACTCTAGTCTGCTCTACCAGCCCTGCAGCTTGTTTCCCTTCAGTAGAGCTCCTGGGCTCTACTTTGAGCGAGGGCAAGGATTTTTCTGAGCACTGAACAGCTGATCAGAGCTGCAGCTCTGAGGGTTCTGCACAGATGCTGTTATGCCAGTTTCTTGAAGCACCTCATTTTTCATGCGGAATAGATGAGGTTTTGGATTTCCATGTACTTGCTCCCAGCTTGTTGCTTAACAGTTAATTGAGCACGCAGGATGCTAAGGAATAACTCGTTTCGGATCAAGAGGCTGTAATACTGCGTATTCAGCACTGCTCACTGCTCACTTGTTACTGAAAATTAAGAATTTTTACTATAGTGAGAATTTTATTTTAAAAATATGTAAACAAAGGTGCAGTAAATGTTTGGTTGGTTTGTTGTGGGTTTTTTTGTTTGGTGGTTGTTTTTTTTTTTTTTTAAATTTGCAGCCTGCGTACCACATTACAGCGTTGTTAACTTGGTGACTGGGCTTTCCAAGGGAGCATGCAGGGAATTAGTCTGGGCTTGGAGGGCCAAGTCTGTTCTTGTCCAGTTTCGGATGCAGGTTAGTTGCTTGTCCTTACATCCCGCTCTTGCTAATATCAGGCAGCTCAAAAAACTGCACAGATGGAGGAAATAATAGGGTTTATTTTAGCAAAACACAAAGGGCTGCTCATGATGTTACTTTCTTCACATAATGTATCATTTTAATGTTGAAGTTATGCTATATGCTTATTTACCTACTATGATTTATTTAGCTGTCTGATTGTATTTCTTTGTTGAAAAGGAGGAGTGCTTTCTTTTAAATATCTGCTCCCATTTGGGTAGCGAAGGACCCTATATCCTACTCTTTTTCTGAGGTTTGATTAGCATAAGGCTAATCTATTTAGATTATGGTCCCCTGTACTGCCATCACTCCAAGCCCAACTTCAATAGGACTCTTGAATACCATATATCTATTTGATTTGGTGGTTCAGACCAGAAATTTGTATGTCTCAAATTAGTGGCGTGCACTTTGTGCAAACAATATCTTTTGTTAGGGAGGCGTCTGGAATTTAAAATCCCTGTGGATAGGCTGCTCAGACCTGCTGTTAGATTGCAGCATTCTTAATTTTTTCCCCATATTGCAGTGCAAGTACTGGAAAATACAAAAGATCCTGTAGATAACTTGCGACATCTGAAAGAGCAATCAGTAAGTGACTTCGGAAGACTGTTGGAGGATGGGAATTGCCATCTGATTCACAACTGCATGCCTGCAGACATATTCAAGTGTTGCAGGTCTATTTATCGCTCTGTCATCAGGCAAAGGGCTCAAAAGGCAGGTCGGTCAAGGTGTGTGTTGCCCAGCTTTGCTGCTCCCCATCATCTTTCAGTAGATGGGGCAACGAGCACAGGTCTAGTTTTTACTTGCAGTGCTAAAACTTTGCTTTGTGCTGCTCGTGCCTCTGAAGATATCTGTGCAGAAATTACATGCTTTTCTAGGCATTTATGGTGGTAATTAATTTTAATCTCTTTTGAGCTTCATGACATAAACCAGTGTGCTCTTGTGCTGCTTGAATTCAGGCTTGCTAGCCTAATTGGGTTTTTGCTTTTTTGGGATTCGGCAGTATTCACCCACCCAGTGAAATGATAGGGAATGGCAGTCCACATGTGTTAGTTCTGCTGCTAAGACCGTGTTGTGCAAGGTGCACGTGTTGTGGCGAGACATTGTATAGCACAATGTTTATCCTTTGGAAATAAGGTGTCATAATTGAGAGTGGATTGCACTGTCTTATCCTGACTCTTTTGAATGACACTGATAGCTATTGCTCCAGTGGTGGGCTGGGACTGAGTCATGCTTTGGGACTATGATGGGCAGCTGGTAGACACCAGTAGGCCATTCATTTCTCAAACTGTCACAACAGGAGAAGGTTAACACAGAGGAGATGTATTGGCTCCTGTTCCAAAGAGGTAGGTCGTCATTGGAGCGTAGGGAGGAATGAGGGGCATACTGGTTATTCAGCTGTCATAGAGAGGCAATTTCTGCAAATCTGTCTTTGTGCTATCTACTCTGTAGCAGAGAGACTGCCTGTTTCTTGGTGATCAGAGAAAAATCTCCATGATATGGGGAGGGAGGAAGGGCTAGTGCAGATTTTCTTGAATGTGGAATGTGTCATGTAGTTGCTTTATTATACTGTGCTTTTAGCTTTAGCAGCTATTTGTTTGTGATCTTGCTCATGTTTTTGTCAAAGATTCGAAGAAAATTGTGGTGATAGTATAAATTCTTCTTACAAATGGAGAAAGTATGGGACAAAGTGGTGAAGCAATCGGTGCAAGTCCTCATGCAGAGGTGGAACACATCCAGTGGATCTTAGTCCCATGCTCTAATGTGGGCTGCGTAATTTCGGTAGAGATATCCTTAGTATGACTTAATGGACAGCGTGCTGAATTATGGCTTATCTGTTCTTTTCTCCCCAAGATCTCATCTGATAAACGGCAAGCAGGAAGGCATCTAAGGCTTTTAAAGGTGTTTGGCTCTAGAGCATGAAGCTCTTTGGGCTAGAGCCACCCTTATAAAAGCTGTTGTACTTAACACCCTTAACATGCACTATCTTTGTCACTTAGGCAACTTTTGTGTGAACAGATAGTGAACCAGATCCGGGAATTGGTCCGTGTTACAACTGACTGTTCTTTTCGACTGGGTTAGTTTTATCACTGGAGAAGTGTGTTGCTCCATCCCACGAATGCTGCTGCCTGGCACAAATGAATGGGCGGACCAGAAATGGGAGTGAGGAAGAGATCAGCTTCCTTGGGTGGAGACATCAGCGTCTGCCAGTGTGGTGCTTGCTGAATTCCTCAGGGTTGAATTCACACAACCTTTCTTTGCTGGCCAACAGAAGAAATGCTACATTTATGTATTCTGTGCTCTCTTCCTACGTTAAAACAAATATTTCTATTTCAGTGCTTTCACTAGCTATTGAGAACCATGTCTGACAATGGAGAACTGGAAGACAAGCCACCAGCTCCTCCTGTCCGGATGAGCAGTACTATCTTCAGTTCAGGGGGCAAAGACCAGTTGTCAGCCAACCACAGCTTGAAACCCTTGCCCTCTGTACCAGAAGAGAGAAAACCTAGGAATAAAATAATCTCCATATTCTCTAGCACTGAAAAAGGTAAGATGTCTCTCTTTTCCAAGGTTACTACGCTACTCTTCTTAGACATTTTGGTAGCACTTTAGATGTTTTGAGTCCAGCCTCTCCAAGTGTAGGGGGTTGGAGGAAGTGTTGAAAGTTGGGTATGTGTGTTCAAAGAGCTGAGATGTCCTTTTTGTTTTCACTGGGATGTTTGAAGGTAAAATGCTATGAGAAATTAAATAGCTCACTGAGGAAAACCACCACCTATTGCTTTTCATGTTTGCTGCCCAGTTTAAAGTAACGCACTTCCAAACAACCCTAATAAATGGTTGTGATTCCTGGGTGTAATATTAGTTACCATTTTGCTATGCTAAATGCAGATTTGTAGGTTAAACTGAGCATCCAGCTGCTTTGGAAGTTACTTCATGTTGACGACAATTTATGTGGTACGTTGAGGATAAGAAAAGGTAGTGAAGAAACAGTGGGGAGGGTGCAGTGTGCATAAAGGAGAATTGAGAAAAATTAAGTCTTTCTGCCTGTGTAACGGATTATTTCTGAGAAAAAATTGATGTAGTGAAACTAGACTGTATTTGTGTTTTGTTTCTGACCTCTCTTCTGTGTGATGAATGTATGTATAGCACTGGAGCCCTGATCCTGGTTCTCCAGGATGTCTGTATCCATGTACAACAAAATGGTGCATCGACAGAAATCTGTTCTAACATCTGGTACAGTAAAACTGCGCAGGGACTTATAAGCCTGACCTGAAACTGCTGTGCATTTTATTAATTTCTACCAGTTAGCATTTTTGTGATTGCTATGAAGATGCACATGGGGAAGACCGTGCTGCTCTTAATGTCTTCTAGTTCTGCTCTTGGCTTCCTGTACCTCGTTGCTGATGTGCTGGGCAGGACTGTTTCAGTCATGCTGATGCAGGTTTGACTGTTTCAAGAGACTTTTCTCCTCTGGTTCTTTATTCGCTTGGTTAAGTATTTTCCCCAGGGCTGGTTTTCACTCTTGCTCAGCTGTGTGAGCAGTCCCTCTGCAGCCATGCTTCACCCTGGAGACAAACGCTAGAGGCAGGCTTTCCTGTCTTTGGAAGATCTGGCTTTCTGTGATCTGGCAGAGTTTCTGTTCTCAACAGTGGGCATGTTTTCTTTTTTGGAGGATGGAAGGATTTGGCCAGTGTAGCTTTTGGAAGCAGAGTAGTCGTTTACTGTGACATAACTGTCCATGGCTGGATTACAGCAATACAAGTGGCGGTCTTGTTGCTGACATGGGTAAGCCTTAAGAGGAAAGTCTGTAAGGAGAACTTGAGAACCTACCAGAGGTTGGTGGCAGCACCTCAAGAGCGAGACTTCAGGCCTTTGAGGCTGGGGAGGATGATGAATCTGGGTGCTGTCAGCTAGGTGTAGTGCCACGTGTATGGACCAGGTTCTAGCTTAGCCCTTCAATACTGCAGAAACTGGTGTTTTACCACTGTATTGTTGGTCACAGAAGGAAATGCCTAGAAACTGTCATGGTGAGTGCTGCAAGAAAATCTTGTGGAAGGATCAGATTTCTCCACCTTCAGACTAGGAGAATGATTTAGAAGCTGGGGTGGCTGTTGCGTTGATCGTTCATCAGAGCATTTGTAGCCCTTCTTTACAGAGATACAGTGAAGTAGAACATAAACCCCACATGAAGGAAGGTTTCCTTTGTTCTGAATCGGCAGTGCTGCGTAAGGCTCGCTTGTGTTGTGAAACAAATCACGAGTGCAAGAGGGTGCATCACAGATGGAGAGTTGTGTGATATTTAATAGTGCCTGTACTTCTTCTTAGACATTTCTTCTTTCCATCTTGACAGTGGGTTTGAACGTTGCTGAAATGGCCAGGGAGCTGGTTGAAAACTTGTGTAAAGTTGAATTTGCTTATCTGAAACTGCTTTGGAATCCCATGACTTAAGCTTTTTCAGACCACTCTGTAAATACTGACGTCTACCAAATTTATGGAGATTAATCTGCATACTTGTTTAGCATTTTTCTTTATACCTACTGATATTTACTGATGCAGACTGAAAATGGAAGAAATAATTTCTGCTGAGAAAAGTACATTTTAGAGAAAATGATGTCCATTTATGTTTTCTAGATGTTAAAAAGTATTTAAAGTAATGTCCTGAAAAAAAGCAGAAGGTTTTACTGCATGGCAAGATAATGTGGTTGGGAAAAATGGTAGTCAAATTACCTAGCTTAAAGACATAGTTTTTTTTAATTTGTAAAAAACTTGTCAGTTGGATGACCTGCAGCAAGGGTAATGTAAACATCCAATGAAAAGGTTTTGGTCCTCAAGACTGCAAAACTGATTGTCAAATGTAAGCAGAATATAAATGGACACAGTGACTTTCTGGCACTAAAACAATAGCCAGATGTTAGTTGTTTTGTTCATTAGCATGGCTGAGGCACACCCTCACCAGAAATGCATATTTAAATAATTTTTTTTTTTTTTAAATCCTGCTGCTGGGAAGCTTTACAGAAATAATAACTTTCTCCTTGGATTTAAAGAATATATTGGGACTATATGCAAAATAATCTGTCAACCTGGGGTAGAAATTTTTCTATGCAAAAGTTAAAAAATTACCACAAAAATGGTAAATTCTCCTTTTTAGAAAATGAAGGGATGCCCTACCAGGAGGTGTACAAGGCTACTGCATACAGACTTGTTACTGGATAACATCGTTTGGCTTTGTTCTGCAAATCTCTTGTCCATGTGATTTTGCGAGGTCCCTCCTGGCCAGCTTCATTATACCTATTGCCACGGCTCTGCTCACTGCCCATGTCCACCTCTTGGGAGGTTTCTCTAGTGCAGGAGGTGGCATTGGGGAAGGTGCAGATGGTGAGGTTTAGCAAATAGAGAGTTTCTGCCCCAAGTCTGAGCTAGTTCTGCACTGAAATAATCGTAAGAGTTTGAAGGGATTATTTCATGACCTAGTCAGGGAAGTTTTTTTTTTTTCCCCTAGTTCCAGTTCCATTGTTTAGGATAAATGAAATAATAGTCATCTTTTTACTAGAGTACTTAATTGCCATGAATTTCCTTGGCTAGACTTGAAGTCCAATGAAACCTGCATGTGTTTTTGGAAAGCTTTAAAACAGTCCCCCAACACAAGAAATGTTTGTCTTTGAGCAGAGCTTATTAAAGGAGGTGCTGTGGGGCATCGCCCAGGACCCAGGATGGTGACGGTGACATGCTCAAGGCTGGTGGCTCAGGGCAGGTTTCAGTGTTGTTACAGCTGCGGCTTGGTAATGTGGAGTGTACCATCTGGGGTCATCTACCTACTATGGCCAGGCTGTGGAGAAACACCTGCCTGTCTCGTTTTGCAGAGCTTGGCTGGTGGGGTGCGAGGGAAGCTTGAGGGTGGGTTTGCAATGCAGGAGGGTGTGTGAAGTACCTTGGGTGATGCCTTTCTGGCTGCCTGTGGCTTCATCAGGGGAAGAGTCCAGTTGTATTTGAGGCACTTTCTTAATCTGACAGAGCAATTTGACAATTTACCAAATCCTTCTGAAGGACCTGTGTCTTCTGCCTCCCGGGAACAGGGGGGACTATGCTTCTGTCCTGGCAGGGCCAAGGGACCACATCTTAGATTCACTTGCTGTTTGAAACGAGAGTTGCCCTTTATCAAAGGGATTCCCATTTAAATACAGAACTGTGTTGCAGACATAATCGGAGGTTGCAAAGCAGTGTGGCCTCACAGTGGCCTTGTTTGCAGAGCTTCAAGTATGTCCTGCCAACACAGGACTCGAGGGACTTCCCTCTTGACTGAAGCTTGCTGCTAGTGTTTGAAGTACTGCTCTGATCTGCTGTTCCTGTGGGCAGAGGAGTGATTTTTTTTTTTTTTTAGTCTCCTTGCTTAGCCTGCTGTGTTTTTGGAAGGAGTGAGTTTATTGTGCAGGATATGCTGGAGGGTTTGAGCCCAGCTCCTGTTCCCTATGTGTCAAGTGCTCCTGAACAGGAACCTTCCTGAGGAATTTTTTTTTTCTTTTTGTCTTTTGCTTTCACGTAAATAACTGCAAGAGATTGGGAAGAAACAGTACTTTCCTTAAAGGTTTTCATGTAAGCAAGTTTCTGCTCTCCTGTGACTGAATGATGTTAATGAGGACATTTGACAGTCCGTTTGCTTTTTGGCTTTGACCTGTGCAGCCATATTAAAGATATCCTGTTTATAATAACCATGTCTTTCCACTGCATTGTTCAGCTGGAGGCAGCCCACATGGCTTTTCGTTTGTAAGTATTGTCCTCCGCTCCCTGTCCTTCCTCTCCCGCCAGTGTGAGGGGATTTCAGACTGATTCTCTGGCTCTGAGCAGCGCAATCTATACTTGCCCCGTGGTCAGTAACTTTTTACCATGTAGTAATGAAGAGGGTGCTGGTTTAGCTGCTCTTTTCCTGTACTGAAACTACATGACTTTTAATGTGAATTTAAAAACAAAATAAAACAAACATGCTTTTTGGACATACAAATGGTAATCAAGTTAGATCGCAAAATGGTGTGCTGCTTTCCTTTGTGGTTATGAGCACTACGGCATTCATACTGGCTTCATGCATACTACAATAAATGCAGCTGATTCAGCTATATGCTTTGCAAGCCCACAGGCGTTCCCAGGATTACATAGGCACTTTTCTTAGTATCAGGTTAGACACGTTCTACAGCTCGCTGCCAGGCCTCTGCCCTTCAGCAAGGACCATGAGATGAGGCCTTGAGCATCATCTTTCTACCTGGAGAGCAAACAGCAAGTACGCTCCTCTATTCTGGCAGGGAAAGAAAGCAGGGCTCAGGCTTTTTTGCAAGAGAAAGAAAATAGGTTCCTGAAGCCTTCCAATTTAACTACGAACTTTTTCTGAGTGAAGGGAACAGAATGGTGTATTTTCTATTTAGAGTTAATTACAAATTGTCTTCCATTTTTATTTATTTTCTGTCAGAAGAAAATAGAAGCCCAAGCCCCAGGCATTATAAAACATCTTATAAATTTAATTGAATCTAGGTTGGATTGTGCATGTGGTCCTTCTCTTTATCTGTTCCAGCTTCTGGTACTTATTATGCTTGCCTTTTTTTTTTTTTTTTTTTTTTCCCTCTTCTTCCCCCCTGCCCTTTTAATTTAAATTGCTCTGAGGCTATAAACTCTTATCTTCATCCCAGGAAGTCCTAGTTTGCATTAATTACCTTGAATTGAAGCAATGAGGCAACTGAGTTTTACCTGTCTTTAGGGTGAACTTGAGGTTGAACTGAAATTGTCTTTGGTGGTGGTGTTCTTAATCCGTATTAAAATATCCTTTTTTGCATTGTAAACATTTCATATGTTTAGATTTCATATGCTCAGCAGAGCTCCTTGCACTCTGGTGCCCTTAATCTCTTATTTACTTGCTACTATAGTATAAATTATTTGAATGAACAAGTTGTTGATTCTTATATGAAGTCTATACCAACTTGAAAATACCAAATCACTGCACTGTGTATGTAAATCCTTCCATCCAGTAAACATTACATTAATCTTAATGGTTGTAATGCTTGAATTGATTATATTAAATGGAGACAATAGGACTTTAAATCTTTGCTCAGTAGATCTTTGGATGACTTTTTCAGGAAGCAAGAAGAAGGAAAAGGAAAGGCCAGAGATCTCCCCACCATCAGATTTTGAGCATACCATCCATGTTGGCTTCGATGCTGTTACTGGAGAGTTCACTGTAAGTTATATGAGCCTTGGAGTTGCTCAGAAGACAGCTATGAGTCAGTGCTGCAGTGAAGCCATTGTGACGTTTTAGAATAAAGTGCGAGTTAGTCGTTGTTTTTATCAAAAACATAATTCTACTGTGTATTTGTACAGCATGCAGAGTAATGAAATGGTGACCTGTTGGTGCTTCTACAGTGTAAATGTTAGATCTGGTGCTTTGTGTCACCTGGGAGAGCCTTCTCTGAGAAACCCTCTTCAGTTTACTTTCATTAGTGGGTAATGCTGGTTCTCTGGAGCGCTTGTGTATTCCAGTTCCTCACATCTGGCGTAATACACCTGAAAGAGGTGATGTCATGTTGGCACAGTGATTTGTGTTGTGTCACCTATGGACATATGGCTCCCCGTTAAAACCCTATTCTACTTGCCTGTATGTTTAAGGCTGTGCGTGTTATGCTTTTTATAGAGGAAAGAAATTTGTTCTGCTTTTTAAAAATCTTAAATACTAGAACGATGCTTGAAACAGCCTGTTTTTTTTCAGGGAATGCCAGAGCAATGGGCTCGCTTGCTTCAGACCTCAAATATCACAAAGCTAGAACAGAAGAAAAACCCCCAGGCGGTACTAGATGTGCTGAAATTCTATGACTCCAAAGATACAGCAAAACAGAAGTATCTGAGTTTTTCTGCCCCAGGTGAGATCCAAGTGTGTGCAGGACATTAGAGTAGTTGGACATTTGGAACAGTCTTTCTCTCTTTCAGAACAATAAATCAGATTCAAATGCTGAAAGAGCAAGCTACTTTTCAATGAGGAACAAATATTTGAAGATGGATTTAAAACTTGCTGGAAACTGGCGTTGTCCAGTTAATTTCCTGTTTTAAGTGGAAAGGGGAAGAAGTGGAACTGGATAATTCAAAATAGCAGCCAAAATTAACTTTAAGGGGCTGTGTTTATGAACTGGGGCTATGAAACTGTGATTAATTGGTTTCATGCTGGAGACCTTGGCTCCTCCTGTCTGTGACTGAAACAGCTGTCTGTGAACCTGATGTCACTGTGTGGTGCAAAGTAAGTTGTGGCTCCTAGATGGGGGAGGTATGTGGGGTGCTGAGAGAATGACAGTTCTACAAGCAGATGCAGTTTTACCTACGTTTCTTCCAAATTATTTCTGAAAATAGCTTAGTAATAAGGCTTTGTAATATTCTCATCCTTAATTCAAGATCCTGCTAAGGGAACAGAAGTAGCCATTTGATCCTGATTTCACACCTCAGTAAGACAGAACACCTATGTGTGACGAGCAGTGCTCAGTTTGGAAAATGGTGTGTGGGTACTCAAGTGACATGATGAGCAAGTTGGGAAATGAGTGGGTTTGCCTGCCCTTAGGGAAGGATTTAAAAACTTACAGCTTCCTTCTGCATGGTCTTACAGGGCAATACTTGTTTCTTTTATCTGTGACCATGAAATTTTGCTTTCTGAGGGGTGAAAAAAAATCTCCAAAGCAGTCTTTACTCTAAAGTTCACTTTTTATTATTTTTCTGATGATTTTATGTGTTCTGCTATTTGTTCTGTCTAGAAAAAGATGGTTTCCCTTCAGGAACACCGACGGTGAGTGCCTTTACTATCCTTTGTCTATTCTTAGGCACGCACAAGTTCATGTCTTCTGTATTTGTTATACACTGAACCTTGTAGTATAAAACAAAATAAAAATTTTTTGTGGAATAAAAGCATAAATTGGGGGGGTCAACAGAGCATATTTCACTGGATCAATACTATTTGAGTCTCATAATGAAATGTAATAGGGCACTTAAACCACTCAACCAATCCTTCTCTTTTGACATCAGTAAGAATTCTTTTAGATTCATGGGGGGGGGCAGAGCAAATCTTTAACACTGTGAGGGAGACAAATTTTTTTTTTAACTTTGGTAAAAATGTAGACCAATACCAAAGGTTCAGAACCATCAACAGCTGTGGCAGATGATGATGAGGATGATGAAGAAGTTCCTCCTCCTGTTATTGCTCCACGGCCAGATCACACAAAATCGGTGAGAAGCTGTAAAATTTATGGTATTACAGAACTTAGTCTACTTCTGTATTCTAGCAAAGTGTTATATTTGTGAAATGAGCTGTTGTAAGTTTTTAGGGAAAAGTTCTGGGGTTTATTTGAGTTTGCTAAGAAAACACCTAACTTCTGAATATCAATTGGATCAGAAGTCTTGAAGTTAATGCTGATTCGAAGTTGTGTGGAAGGCATTCGGTTGTGCTTATCCTTCAACACAACATGTGAGGCGGAGGCTTTTTAGTCCTAAAAACCTGTAGCTAGTTTCTGTAATTTTGCACAGTACGGTGGTACAAGTGTAGTGTGTTTGATTTTCTTTATTTTATTTGATTGCAGTGTGATAACCTCGCCAAATATATTACCTAAACCCCAACCAATTACAATTTAAGATCTGAAAGCCTATTTCCCTCACAAAGTCATCAGCGTTACATGAAAAGTTAAATTCTTAAGAAGTTAATTAGGTTTTATTGTAGTTGTCCTGAACTACACACCTTGTTAATAATGTCCCAGGGATCCCAGTTACCCCAGCTCATTCTTTTGACTGTGGTATGTGTGCATTTTGCCACTCTGATGCCCACTTATTCTCACTCCAGAACTGCGAATGTGAATTGTATTTCTTTGTCAAGTGCTACTGCTTTATAATTGCCCTACTGGGTATGTAGACATCATGTGACAGGTCTACAGTTTGATATTTCTAAGGTAGCTGTGTATGTCTGTGAACAGCTCAGGAGGAAATGAAGTAAAGCTCCAAGAAAATGGCCTAATTTGGGAACAACTTGGAAATTTCTGAGAGTCTCATGCTGCTTTTCATGGCAAAGCATGAGTCTTTTCCTTTAGATCTTAGTAGTAGTTGATCTTGCTATTATATAGTGATTTCTGTTCTGTTAACTAGCGTGGGTTATAAAGAATAAGCAGGTAGAAAACCTTCAAAACATCTGTCTCTGGAAGTTAGTTATCTATCTCCTAGCATCTGCTCTGTTCAGGAGGTGCCTGGGTCTTTCTTTCAGAGGTCAGTAGGGTTGCCAGCATCTTGACTTACTGGATTTAATATTTCTCAGATCTAATTTTTGCCTTCGACTTGTTATGTAAAATGGTGCTTAGGGATCTTTGAAGAACTGTGATTGTTTTCAGCTGAAGGTCAATGATTGCAAAGAAAGTGCTTAGTTAAATGATCTCTCTTGACAGATTTATACACGGTCTGTAATTGACCCCATCCCTGCACCAGCCAATGACACTTCCGTTGACAGTGTGACGAAATCAGGTGATAAGCAGAAAAAGAAGACCAAAATGTCAGATGAAGAGATCATGGAAAAACTGCGTAGGTGTTTTTTATTGCAGATAAACAAATGCTTTAGAACTGGGGCAAGAAAATTAATTTTTTTGCCCTCATCCTTATTTCTGTGTAAGGGTTGTGTGAATACTGTGCTTGATTGGGTTTTGTCAGACTGTAGCTGAGAGCACTGCATTCAGATGTTTTGCTGATTTATATGCTTCAGAGGCCTATTGGGTAAAAAAATTGTAGAACAGGTTTTTTTGGATTGAAGTTCAGTTGTGATAACGTGATCTACATGTATAATACGACCATAATAACACAAAATAGTTTCTGCTGTTGCTTGTTCCATCATTATCATGAAGATAATTCTTCACTATATTATGTGCCTGTGCTTAAGTTGAGAACTGACTAGTTTCTGGACTAGGCTAAGCTAATGGGTTTGTCATAACCTCATACTGGGTTTCGCTACATGGAAGACTATTGTTAAACTGAGATACTAGGCGAAATAGCATGATCTGTCTTGTTAAGAGTATAACCTAGCATGATGTTCATCTGATAGTTGGACCATTTGCGACTGGAACTGAACCGGGAAGCTTTGGCTGTTCATGCATCAGCCTTTACTACTTGAGCTGACCTGCTCTTGGAGGTATCTTGGCCAGGCCAGCCCTACTAAAGGGGGACAGTGGGATTGACTTTTTTTTTTTTTGTAGGTACTATTGTGAGCATAGGAGATCCCAAGAAAAAATACACCAGATATGAAAAAATTGGGCAGGGGTAAGTGTTCACTCCAATTTTTATTCCCAGTGAGCCAGTGTTAAAAGTGGTGTCCTGTTCTCTATCAGGTGCTGTCATGTAGCCACCACTCCCTGAAGCAGGCAGAAATGTTGGCCGTGATAAACAGATGGTGGAGGCTTTATGCAGCAGTGGAAATTTTGAATTGAGTCTTTTAATGCAAAAGCATAGCGCTCTACCTTCTCTGTGGGTGTATCTAGTCCTCTCCTCTCCTGATAAGATACGTTCATCCATTTTGTAATACAACTGCTGAACAGCGTGAGGGCACATCAGAAGGCTTTCTGTCTGCTAAGCTAACAGTGCTGCCTTGACTAAGTTGTTCTGGTGGTCCTCTGAACCCTTCTGAGAAAAAAAGTATATACAAGTTTTAGCTTTTCCAGCTTTGTTTATGTGTATGCCTAACTCCTATTGTATACTCTTCAAATAGGTCTGTGTGTGTTGTGGGCAGGCTTCCCCTGGGGGAAAATGAAAAGTAATACCTACTACAGAAAGGGCTGCCTGGCTTATCTGATCACAGGGAGCAGCACAAGTTCTGGGGCTTAAACATCCTGAGTGCAGGAGGTATAGCTGATGTCAGAAGAGAGCATGTTTGCGATTAGTTTGTTCTATGTGAACTGACTGGCATTCCTATGATAGCACTTTATTTTAGTAGCCTTCTTTTTGACACAGCTCTTGCAACATCAAGAGCTGACAGTCTTGTGTTTGTGATTCGTCTGTTCAAGTGCGTGTTTGTTACACAGAGACATGCAACTGGATGCAATGGTTTTCTTCACAGGGCTTCGGGTACAGTTTTCACAGCTATTGATGTGGCAACGGGGCAGGAGGTAAGATTTCTGTGTTCATTGCAGTGAAAAACTTTTTCTGTATAAACGTTCTTCTGTAGGTGGCTACAAATCCGAATGATTTGACTAGATTTATTTCTGTGGCTCCCATCTCTGCTATCACCTCTCAGAAAAATGTTTGTCGTAGTCATTTGTAACAGTGTGTGCCTTGTTTTGTAATAATCAGATGATGAAAGCTAAAAATAGTTTTGTCTTTCCAGTGAAAAGCAGAGGGAGAGAGGTGTTCCAGATAGGTGTTTTTAAAACAGTTTACACGTCAAGAATTGTGGGCAACGGTGTCCTGGGCTTTCAGAAGTAAAATTTTGTTTAGTCTTTGCACATTTTGCACTCTAGTCCTGCCTCAGTAGAGGTGATGGATGTGCCTATCTGTATGGAAACAGCTTGCCCCGTAGGATTCTTTGTTATAGGTACAGTGCCTGCTCCACATCCTGCTCTTTGCTTTTACTCTGGTGTCTCCAAACCCACTTGGTGAAATTGATGGTATCAGCAATACTTTGCATGCTTGTCAGCCAGTGGTCATCTCTGGATCCCGGGGCTAAAATTTTAGGAATTATTTGCTTCTCTTTAAATTCAGATTTCCTTAATTTTCCTTTAAATATCCGCCAGTAGCCATTCCTTAGGTCACTGCTAAGTAGTTGCCCTTTCAACAGTAACCCCGTTTACCAGTACTGTAGTGGAGCACCACATCTTGATAAAACTCAAGCCTTTCAAGCATCTCCATATGTCGTCTCTTAATTTGCTTTCTACAGACTGCAGTACTTCAGGTCATCTTACTGACTGCAGGGTAAATTTTGTAGTCCAGTTCCTTTCTTAGACCTCCTCTGTGCCTTGTCAGGCAGGTGGGCTAACAGTTGATTGCCTGCAATCCTCATGTGTTAAATGGGTGCAGTACTCTGGCTTCCTCAGTACTTAATGTCTGAGGATAGATTTGGGACTGTTCAGAGGTAAGAAGAGAAGGCTGAAGGAGGGTTTTATTGCTGTTTTCAATGCCTTAATGGGAAGTTGTAGAGAATATGGAGCTAGACTCTTCTTAGAGCTACACAGTGACAGGACAAGAGGTCACAGATGAAAATTGATGTAAGGGAGATTCTGGTTAGATAGGAGAATTTTTTTTCCCCCCTCATAGTCAGGATGATCGAACATGGGACAGGAGCCCAGAGAGGTTTTGAAATATCTGCTCACTGAGATCTCTGTTCAAAACAGTTGCACAAGAGCCTCAGCAATTTGCTCCACGTTGTCTGTACTTTAAGCAGGGGATTGGACCAGATGACCTCCAGAGGTCCCCTCCAATCTTAGTTATTTTGTGATTCTGTGCCACAAGTTCTTTTCTTTTAATGCCCTCGGCAATATAATGATTGTTTCTACAAGATTATATTGGTTCTTCTGTTTGGTTTTGGACTCATGGGTAGGTTGTCTTGTAAAACTCCGGACCTGCCTCCTCAAAATGTTGTAGCCAACGTGACTGGGACAATTCTCCATTTTAAAGTCTGGAATACTTGTCCTGGTTAACTTATTTCCTTAACAAGATAGGTTTTTATCTTCCCTTCTCTCTCTGGGATAGTTCATTGGCTTAATTGCTTTGAGGGGAGTTCCTTCTGCCTCCCAGCATTCCTTATACCCAAACACTAATTTGGTCAGAATATAGAAAAAAGAATTGCCTTGCCTTACATTGGAAGGCTTTTACTTTCTCAGTTTCTATATGGTTCTCTTCTGCTTTAGGCATGTTGATAGGAGATTAGGCAAGTATCTTTATCTCCTGAATGTTTCCTTTGCTCTCTGTTGTGGCCTTTGTTATTGTTTGTGGATCTCTTCAGCTGCAAGAGGATGATGGTGGCTGTGGGTGCAAGTTGTATCCTCATCAGGTTGCATTCTTTTAAGTTGTATGCTAATAAATAAACAACTTGCCAGCTGCAAGCTGTGCTAAACTCCTTTAATCCTGTTACAGAACTTCTAACTTTTCACTGTATTAAGAATGACCGAAGGGTTTTGATATTCAGGTTTGAGTGATTGCTGTTTTATTTTGTTCTATTCAGGTTGCTATTAAGCAGATAAACCTGCAGAAACAGCCCAAGAAGGAGTTGATTATTAATGAGATCTTGGTAATGAAGGAGCTAAAGAACCCCAACATAGTTAACTTCCTGGACAGGTAAATGCAGACAGCTGGCTGATTCCTTCATCCCCAAGGGTTTCAAGAAGTTGTAACTTGATATACTTACACAGACCTGGAATTCTGGTACCAAAGGGTCTTATAAGCAAATGAGACTGTATTTAGACTGTTATTTAAAAAGAAAAAAAAAAAAAAAAGAAAAAAGAAAAAAAGGCATCTGTTACAGGGAATGGTCTTGATGATTCAGTAAGAAGGCTTCTTCTGTCATGAATGCAGTGCTGCATGTAATTGGGGATCAGTGGTGGACAAGAGCACAGCTGGAGCAATGCTTGTGTTGTGCACGAGATATGCAGAGTGTTTTCTTGCCCATTTAGGTAGTAAGAAGCATGCAGCTTTTATTGTCAGCATTTACTTTTCAGGCTACCTTCCAGAGATTAATTTTCTTTATTTGTCTTGAAGTGCTTATGAATCATTTCATTGACCAGCTCTTATCAGTCATTTTTTAGTTCTTGATCTTTTGATGGCAACGGGCATGCTTTTTGGTTTCTGTTTGCAGTTACCTTGTAGGAGATGAATTGTTTGTGGTGATGGAGTATCTAGCTGGAGGCTCACTAACAGATGTGGTCACAGAAACATGTATGGATGAAGCACAGATTGCTGCTGTTTGCAGAGAGGTGCGTATTATAGTTGATGGGCAGAGGAATGAAGGTGCACTTTATTCTGTTGGGTTTTATGGTATACTTAGGTTAGGACTCATTGCAGCAATCGCTGTTGGGAGCCATTGAGTTATGAAGAATGAATGATACTGAGAGCAGAAATCAATATTAAAATTACAGAAAATAATAAATTGAGTTTAACTTGGAAAATAGGACATTTGCAAGTTTTAACATAAAGAAATTGTAGTGGGTTTTGAGCTGGATGTTTGGGAATTTTAGGTGATGGAGTAAATAAAGATCTTGGTTTTGGTACTTGTGTTGCCTAGTCCTGCTGGCAGAAAGATATTCTGAAGTTCAAGGAAGAGCAATGAAGTTTAGCAGCTGGAAAGAATGTCTTTTTTATCTTTGACTAGCAAAGTATGTTCAAAGGCACCAAAAAGAAAACTGAGTATTCATACATAGGTAATGTAGAAAGTAGAGATGTGGACAACATCCTGAAAGCTTCAGAGCGTTTTCCAGAAGGAAGAAGGGGAACTGTCTTTGCTTAGAGTGTGAAAGTGGATCTGATGAAGCAGGAATACTTTAAGAAACGTGTGCTAAGATAAAGGTGAACTTGATGCAGATTATCCCTTTCTCATTTTCATAGTGTGTGAAATCTGTAGTTCTGTGACAGTTAAACTTTCTTTATGGATTTCTCAGAAAAACAATTCTCCAGAAAATTGTAGTTGGAATAATGTTAAAATTGCAGTAAGATTTCAAATGGAAGAGTTAAAAATAGCTGATGTCACAACTTATCAATGGTTTCTGCCCTGAGGCAGTGCTGGCATCCAGCTCAGGTTTGGTTTATTATGGCAGAAAGAGAAATAATTGTATTATCTGCTGTGCAGGAGAAACTTAGGCTTTTAAAAACCCCATTTGCCTACATCAACATGACGTCTGCTTTTGGTGACTCGCCCAAAGGGAGGGGATGGAAGGCAAACTGGTTCATTAACGTGTATGGACAGGTAATGGTTTCCAGAGAAACCAGAGCTGGAAGCAGAGAACCGAAAGTAACTATTAACGGTAACAGTAATTAACTTCTCCAAGGAAGAAGTCTAACGTTGAACTATTGTACTTCATTGAAACTCTGTTGCCCGGTGTGTTAGATATGCTTCATTCTGCAAATTGGTGCCATTTTGATAAAGCAAATGAAGACACAAAAAACTCACTGGGGACTACATCTGTGCCAGGTTGCAAATGGTAAATGTTCTGCTTATATTAAAAGAGAAAAATATTACAATCTTTTTTGCCTTTTATTCTCAAATAGTGAAGGTAAGTTCCAGCACATTTTTAGGCAGAAAAGGTTTTGATCTAAAACCAGGGCAAAACCAGTATTAGTAACTTTCATAATGAAGATGTTTTACAGCCTTCACTGTAGGAGAAGTTGCATGTGTGTTGAGAATGAAGTCTCGCCAATTCCTCTTCGTGAGACTCGAGGCTAAAAAGCTCTCACTTATTCCTTTATGGTTCCTCTGGAGAATGTGTGGGAAGTACCAGAATTAACATCTGGGATTTTTGAGACTGTCGTGGGTGATGACCAGGAGATGAGGAGTTTAATTTACAGGTTTGTTAAGATAGCGGAGAAACCATGGTTAAATGATTTTTGACCTCGTGAGGTCTGGAGAGTATTTTTTTAAGCACAAGAGCTTCCTCTGCTGGTTATTTTAAGTAATACCTGTTATTTTTGCTCAGCACTGGCCAAGGGTGTAACCCCTGCTATTGAATTTGTGTTCATGTACATAAATTGTGTTTCCATGTGCTGAATATTTCTGAATTATTTTTTTTTCCCCATCCAGTGCTTGCAAGCGCTTGAGTTCCTACATGCCAACCAGGTCATCCACAGAGACATTAAGAGTGACAATGTGCTGTTAGGAATGGATGGATCAGTTAAACTAAGTGAGTACCAAACAATTGATTCAACCTTCTGTTTTCCCTTTCCCCAGTAAACTTTGACTTGAAGTATGTAAATCGGTAGAAGGAGAGTTGGCAGGGAAATTCGAGGTGAATTTTTATTGACTATGAGTTGTAGAAATTCATTCTGTGTTACAAAATGTATAACTCGCAGGTAGCAGGTATTGCAATTCTGAGGGCCCTAAGACTAAGGCTGTGAACGTGTTAGATGGGAAGAATGTTGAAGCAAACCTGTTGCCACATGAGTACGTTGGTAAATATGAAGTAACTGGCACCATACAGTGAAGCAAAGATGTGAATGATTGCAAGAGAAAAGTTGCAGCTGACTGCAGTTGCTTTGTTAGTCTTTTCAGGTTGTCGTGACTTGCTTTTAATGTTTTGCCGTTTTCATTAGAAGGTCACTAACACGAAAATTGTACGTTATTAACCATTTGTATTCAGTCTAGTCTTATGCTGCGCCTGTACTGGGACTCCTTTTCTTGGACTGGAAGTGTAACAGACTTTCATTAGTGTAATCGTGAAATGACAAAAGAAACGACTTGCTTTTCGGGTGACTGTTATGCATGCATGGACTTGCGTACAGTAAGTCAGTTTCTGGTGTGTGTAAATGTGTGTAGCAATAAAAAAATGTGAAACCACTTGAAGAAGCTGTCAGGACTGTTGAGAGAGGTGTATATCTGACTTCTTGGTATGTGGGAATGTGCAAAGGAAAAAGCGACCAAAAAGTTAAGGGATGGTGTTTCTGCAGTTGCGTAGGAATTTGAAATGCCATGAAAATGTATCTCAGCAATCAATATTCCTTAGTGTCGATGGTTTGCAGTCTCATACTGTTTATGGTAAGGAGTGTAAAGAAAGATTATGAGCAACCTGATTTGCTTACCAGCATTGTTGGATGCCCTACTTGCTTGCGTAGGAGGCTTTTTTAAGGGTGTGACGCGTTTGTGCACAAACTGTGTGGATTAAGGGGCTGAAGATAAGTGAATAGCTGCGTTAGAGGATGTGGCAGAGAAGAGTTAGATGCAGAAGGCTCAAAAACGTAGGAGCTGTCAAAGCAAAACAGTGTGGCAAAAGGACAGGGTTAGCAGACTGTGTAAAGAAACATCGGCGCCAGGAGTTTGGGGGAAGATGAGGAGGAAGGAAAGGCAGGAGAAAATAGGAGTCACCTGTAAAAATGTCCTATATGAAGGGGAGGCACTGTAATCAGTATTGAGACTAGCTCTTCTTTGGCTGTGTATTATAGAGCTTCCAGCAGTTGTTTAGGGTGGAGGTGGAAGAAGTTGCACCTTTTTTCCAAGCTCTTCCCCTTCTTTGAGGGAGTCTGGCTTCTGGGAGACTGGTGACAGTAGAAGAGATAACGGTCTGCCTGTCAGCACTACTTACCTACACACACCACTGGTAGGTGAAACTGGGTTCTACATCTTGGCTGTCTTTTCTCTCCTTGCTGGTGGCCTGGTGCTGAAGGCATCGTTGGTAGGTCAGGAGACGTACGCTGCTGTGCTTTGAGTTGAGTATGACACCTTGGTAAAGGCCAAGAAGTGCTGGCCAGGAACTCAGTGACTCCTATAGGTTTGATTTTTATTTTTTTTTGGTTGGTTTTATGTTTTTAAGGCAGCACTTTGACAATCAGGGTGGGGTTAGTTCTTTGTTAATTTGTCCTCTTGGTACAACTTAGCACTTTCATGACTGTGGCTCTTTTGTTAGCACTGCTTGGCATAACACTTTCAAAATCCACTTGAAATTTTAAATTCTCTCTCTCTCTCTCTCTCTCTCTTTCTCTCTCTTAAACTCAGTGTGAATGATAAGGTAATATCTGTCTCCTGCCTTAACTGTGTTCTTATTGATGCTTTACTTGCCTGGGAAGTCTGGGAAGTGGGAGTGCTGCAGCTGGATAAAGTAACATGATGGAACATGCATTGCTGCTGCACCTGAAGGCTATAGGAATAGGTGACTTTTCTCGTTTTCTTGAGTGTGGTTGTTCTCTTTGGTAGTTACCTTGTGGAAAGGTTTGTTTGTCCAGGTTTCTTCTGCTGAGTGGGGTAGTACTTCACGTACCTGCAGCCTTGTTTCCATATGTCCGTCAGCTCTAGTACCTGTATTTGATGGCCAGATTGCTGTGAAATGTTGAACTCACTAGCTGCACAAATAAAATCTGTTTAGCAGGGCAGAAGCCATGGTTTGTGGATTTGTTCTTTTTCTAGCTCAGGCTGTATAACACACCATGCGCAGAACACTTGCCTTCTGTGTTCTGCTTGATTACTTTTCTTGGCTGTTACCAGTCTAGGATTCCTGAAGGAAGGGCTGGGCAAAATACAGTTCTTCTACAGGGTAATACTATTGTTGCTTTTCCAGAGGACAGAAAGCCTTACCTTCTTTCCACGGAATTCTGCCCTGCTTGAACACCTTCAGGTTTTGTATCTGTCTTGCACGTTGGATTTTGTAATACGGAGAATTAGTGGGGGGGAAAAAAAAAGGAGTCACTCCGCCTAAGCCCCTCTCAAGTGTAGAGGAGTAGAATTACTGTGTAGAATAGAGAAGTTGTCTAGGAAGCCCCCTTGTTTGGTGTACACCAATTTAACTTTTTAAAATTCTGTTATCCTACAGCCGACTTTGGTTTCTGTGCTCAGATCACCCCAGAGCAGAGCAAGCGTAGCACTATGGTTGGAACTCCTTACTGGATGGCTCCTGAAGTGGTCACCCGGAAAGCCTATGGCCCTAAAGTGGATATCTGGTCTCTGGGCATCATGGCTATTGAGATGGTGGAAGGAGAACCCCCGTACCTCAATGAAAACCCCCTGCGGGTAAGAAGCCCTGACGTGGCTAGAACTGTTTGTGGGTGTTTACTATGTGAATGTTTTCAGTAATTGTTCATTAATAGTATCTATGTTAAAAAGAAAATGAAATGAAAAAAACCAGCAAGCTTCAGCAGTGTGATGAAATTCCTCCAAAAGGAAGACAGCTGTCTTGAATTTGCTACCAGCCCTACCCTGAATTTTTCTGTTCAAAAGATGAGAACTTGCTTGTAACTAAAACATTGGACTTTGAGCTTAGTCTTCTGTGATAGTTTAGGGAAAGTAAATCCATTAGGTTATGAAAAATGCTGCTTGTGTCAGAATTGGTATTTTCTTTGCCAGAGTAAGTATCAATTGCCAAAAGATTTCGAATGTTATTTTGCTACTAGCAAGAATAGGTCACGACTGCCTATAATCACAGAATCACACAGAATTGATGCATTCTTACGGTTTTTCATCTCATCAGGGTGAGGAGAAGTAGGCTGCAGAGCTCTTTCTTATCTATACTAAGGGATTGCCGCTTAGGCAGGTTAGTTTGGCATCTTTGAAAGATTTGGCTTGTTGATATGATATTCCTCATTTTACAGGCTTTATATTTGATAGCAACTAATGGCACACCAGAACTGCAGAACCCTGAGAAACTGTCCCCAATATTCCGGGATTTCTTGAACCGATGTTTGGAGATGGATGTAGAGAAAAGAGGATCAGCCAAAGAATTGCTACAGGTGAGGGTCAGCTTCTTCTCACAGTCTGAGATACAGAAGCCACAAGTAAGGTCAGCCTGTGATAAACTGTACTGTAACTGGCACCCTTTTTTTCTGTGTTTTCTTCTGAGGACTTTAGTGGAGAGCAGTTAATAAGAGCTACAGTCACCAAAGATTGTAATAGGTACCCTGAAGTCTTACTGGAAATTATTGGAAAATTGGAAAAATTATTGATAGCATTTGCATTGCTTTTCATATCTCGGAATGAAAAGGGCTGTGTAGATATAAGGCTTTTGGCATTTTAAACAGTGTCTTTCACTAGTTTACTGTGTTTCTCTCTTCCTGGCAGCATCCCTTCTTGAAACTGGCCAAACCTCTGTCTAGCTTGACGCCACTGATCTTGGCAGCCAAAGAAGCAATGAAGAGTAACCGCTAACATTACTGCCACAGCCTTCATCCTTTTTTGTTTTTTTTTTTTTTTGGTTTTGTATTTTACAAATCTTTATAATATATGAAATTGTTACACTTGTGGGGGGAGGGAAGGGATTTTGTTGGGGGGAAACGTCTGCAAAAGGGAAGAAACTCTCATCCAGAAGACACCCAAAATAAATTGTGGCGACTCTTAGCGATCCCTGTCTGAAGTCCAGAAGGAATTGAGGACTGAATTACTGGCCTTTCGCCTCCCACCCCTCCCCCCGACAGCCCAGAAATGCCACTTACTGTGCCCGGGGTTTTAAGGGGTTTTTAACGACTTCGCTGTAACAGCTCCCATTCATTGTACCGTTCTGGGTACTTTCGATACTTGAATGACAGATTCAAGCTTTCAGAGAGCAGTACTAATTTTACCTGCTGATCTCTTTCACTCTCCTCTTCCTCCCCTCTACCTCTTTACTTTGAAATCGCTCTAGTAAGCTCCCATATGACTAGATTCATGGCAAGTGTGACAAATGTGAAGGTACATCTTGCCCTTCATTTCTTTTATGGATTAGCTGTCGCTGTACTGTAGAATTGACAACTTGGCTACTTAAGAATTTGTAAGATGTTGAGATGTTTTTCACTTTTTAAGATGAATATGGAGAGAAGCGGAAGAGAAATATTCAGCTGTTTCTCATATGCCTGTGCTCTGTGGACTTTTAATCAAAGATGTGGCCTCTTTGTATAAACTTAATGGTTGGTCAAGTCTTTGGATGTCAGTTTATGGATATATAGGTAGAGGTCAAATACTTTATTTATGATCAAATGATCAGCTATAGTCAGGGCAAGAAAATAATTCCAGCTGTCTTCCTGTCTGCTCTTTTTTTTTACCATTAGACTTGCTGGCCAGAAGCTTAAGGGATAATGTGCTTGGTGAAGTGAGTGGTTCAAAAACCTGTATTGTATCTGTGCTGACTTGGGCTTTGGAAGTTATGCTGGTGCCTTTGACTTTTTTATTTTACATTTCCCTTCTTTGTATCAAATACATTTTTGTATATGTTGTAATTTTTTTCCCCAAGCAAATAATGCATCAACCTATGGAGTTGTCAGAGTTTAACTATTAGAGCTATTTTTTCCAATTTTGTATGTACTCCATTTGTACTAATGAAATCAGAAGAACAAATGATTGGATCTGAGGACACTGAAGATAAAGGATTTTTAAAATGGTTCAAACAAAAGATTACGAACACCTGGAAATGTCAAAGCGCCGTTCTGAGAGGGGAGAACAGTGCCATCAGACGTTCATGGGGCTCGTTTGACCAGCTAGCTCAAGGCTGAGGAGATGTGATCTGTCACGCTGATCCTTTCTCGCTAAAGACCATTGTACCAGCTAGAATGGCTGGAGTTAAACATTCAGTGCAAGAAAAAGTGCCTCCCTTTGAAGGACAGTGAGCAACTCGGGCGGCTGAGTTCTTGGAGTGTTACCAGGGGAAGTGTGGAAGAGCCTGTGCCCCTGGCTTCTCCTAGTGCTGCAGTCTATACATTTCAACTTCCCCAACAGTTTTAACGAAGAGCCAACAGTGTATTAACAGTGTGCCAAATGATTCTGTGAAAGAACAACCGTTGCTTTAGTGGGATTTTATTGCATTCCCAGTGGGGCAGGACCTGGGACAGATAGGGTTATGGCTGCATATGGGTGGAGGACCCTGAATAAAATTCATTTTGCACACTTTTGCAAACATTGCTGGCAGAAGATAGAAGTCGTGTTCAGATAATCTCAGTATTTGTACAGTGATAGAGATAACTATGTTTTGGGGACTGGTGGCCAAGGTATGACAAAAGCAACTTTGCCAGCCAGAACAGCGGAGGCTATTTGTGTTGATGGCGGAGGGGAAGTGGGGCTAGGGTCTTGCAGCATCCACTGCTGTAGCTCGCTGGCTTCTAGGAATTGGTGTGGTACTAGCAAGATGCCTTGTGGTGCAGGGCGCTGCAGTATCGCAGCTCGGCTTGCGTTCTGCTCTTGGCATGGTAGTACAAGTGTACGTTGGCTAAATTATGTTAACTGCTGCATTGCAGGAATAAAGCCCCCTAGCTATAAGCGTAAGGATAGTTATGGTTTTAAATTCAAGGAAGTGTCTCATTCTAGGCAAGGAAATCTAGATGCATTTCTGAGGGACAATGGGTTATGAGCTGTGGACACTGTAAACACTGTAATGGCGGTGCCACTGGTTTGGGTGCGTCCGGCTCCCTGCTCAAATGAAGTCGTGAAGAGGCTTGGCTGAGGAAAAAACCAGTCATATCAATGATTCCTTCTTTGTCCGTTGCTGGCAATGGACTTCGTGAAACTCCTTGTGCCAGAGTTAAACCGGGAGCTTTTCTTTCTTCTTTTTTTTTCTTTTTTTTTTGATGGCACAAGCTAGATGGTAAGATTACTTGCGATAAATTTAGTTTTTTAAAATAGAAAACGAAGAAATCGTAAGTAATTTTAACTTATTAGTTCTCTTTTATTGATGAATGAGAATGGACAAATTTTGTAACATGTGTTAAACCAATTTAGTCTACTTAGGAGATGATTTCCAAACTTTCAGCCATCTTAGCACACAAAACTTGGCCCAATCCAGAAGTTACCAAAAGGTATCTTGGCACTAGCTGTGTGACCTGGAAGGGTGTTTAGCTTGGGGGCTGAAAGTGTCCACACCTCCCCTTCCCTACCTGGCAGCTCTGTTATGTGGGGAGGTTTCTCACCCCCTCCTGCCAGAAATCTGGGTCAGAGATGGAGCTGGCAGAAGAAGAGAGCCACCAGAAGGTTGCTGTGCTGTGCTTTTGTGCCTTAGTGGGTCGGGCATCACGTTTCTAATGTCAGCTGGATGTGTCTGCAAGATTAAAAACTGCAAGCTGTGTTTTTTCCCCTGATGGGAGCAGATTAGCATCCTTAAGACTTGCTGCAGAGCCCTTCAGCTCTGCTGTGTCACTAGGGCAGCCAGAGAGAAGCCAGAGCTCGAGTAGAAGGTGCTAAGGGAAAGATTGCACGTGGAAGCGCTGGGATTCCCAGACGTCTTGCTCTCTCGCACGTGCCCGCTAAGATCCTGTGTCAGCATCAGACACGCATGTGACACATATGAAGTGTAATGTACAATGGTGTGATGAGCTGGATATATAGAGCTGGGCAGCCTATGGCTGAGAGGCAAGTGTGCAGGGAATGGGTGACTCCAGGGATTCTCTTGTTACCCGAGAATAAACCTCAACTCTCACTGAAAGCAACTGTGGTGTAGGAAGCATGCACTTGGACCTGCCTTAGGTGTTAATGAGATTAATTGTAGGCTTCCCCCCCGCCCCCGCTCTCAGTGCAGGGAGGTGTGAAGGTGTGGATAGAGCAGATGGAAGAGGCTGGGTCCCTTTCTCAGAGCGGGTGGTAGTTGGGCTGGGGAGGGAGCAAGGAGGTGATTAAATGTCTCTCCAGCTGGAGTTGAATAAATAAATGCCTCTGGTCTGGTTTTCCCTCTGTTCCTCGTGCTATTAATGGAAATGGAAGTAGGTGCAAGCTTTCTTTTTATTTTTTTAACTGTCTTCAGATTTTAATGTTGCCTTTTGTGTAATTTAATCCCATTATGTTATTTAATTACTGCAATATTAACTACTGTATTTGTTGACTTTGTTTAATAACTGTTCTTTCAGGGCTAGAAATAAACTTAAAAAAAAAAAAAACATTTGGATTTTTTCCCCTCTTCCCTGTCATGAGTTTTATACCTTCTAAGACAAGAGTAGCTGAAAACGAGTCCATGTTTAGATGTCTTAATGAGATTAACAGAATGTATTTGTTTGTAATTAAGGTTCTTATGAATACTTTAATTATGATGGAGATCACTTTATGCTCTACTAGCCTGTCCTGTTTCTTCTAAAATTTGATTTACTCATCAGTGGCTGTATGAACCTCATGATAACTGCAAGCTTTCCTTGCTGCCGCACACTGCTGGCAGGCAGTTATACCTCCCACAAAATGCTCCAGATCGCTGACAGGAGGAGAGTGGCTTTGAAATTCCCTTTTCACCCACTGTGGAAGAGAGATCCCTTGCTCTTCTTGTGATGGGAGCAAAGCAAAGACCAGCCTGGTTCGTCCCGGTCTCATCTTCCACCATTTGTGCACCATAAGGTAGCCTTTTGGTGGTGACTGGGGTGGGACTGATGGGCCAGTAAACTGCAGTTGTGGCAATATGATGATGTTCCAGTAGCTATTCTGCACAAGACTGCTTTATTGCACCATGAATATCGTCCGGTATCCTGCCTGTAAGCTTTGTGGCACAGGAAGCACAGGGAATGAGCTATCCTGGTGCCTGCTTGGAAGATGTGGCTCTTGATGAGGATGCAGGGTGTTGACAGCCCACCTAGGACTTTGGATTAGATCGATGGTGCCTCTTGGGAGGCTGCGGAGTGTTGCTCGTGTTTTTCATTGAAACTACAAAAACGCTGTGGCGTGTTGGCATGGCAGTCTAGCTAAAGAAAAGGACATCTACATGAATTTACTTTGGGATTGAGACTGGTTCGTTTGAAATCCAGATGAAGTTTCTGTCTCGGTTGTGAATCTCAAGGACTTGTCGTGTCGTGTGTTTCCCGTGTGTTATTGGGAAATCGTCTCTTCCCCTTTCTTGCATGTTGTACAAGCTTTGCTCATACCACTGACAAAGGGAAGGGAGAAAACCACTTGTTTTCAGAAGCCTTTTCAACCAGACGTGAGGATGTTTTGCACAAAGCACTGTCTCTTCAGGTTAATTAATTTGTTGTAGTATCTTTGTCTTTATATATACTTGACCCTTTATACATTTAAACTGATGTTCTCTAACTCTGCATTTAAGTGATTTTTGCGTTCAATTTGTGGGGGAAAAAGTTGACAAGAGGAGGGAGAAGGTGCTTAGTGGAACTCGCTAATTATCTGAATATTGGTACTTGTGCTGCCTGGAAGAGAGCAGAGTTTTGGCCGAGCGTGGTTTGCACAAGTTGAAAGTTGCTACTTCTTGCTTGATAAATCCTGTTGAGTGTGGACTTGCTCATCCTTTCCGCATACCTGGCCTAGACTAAAACCAGATCTTACTGAAGATTGGGTGTTTAAAACATTCAAGATAACAACATTGGGGGCAACAATTTCTCCCTTTCAGGGCTGCTGTTTGGTTGCAGTGAGTTTACCGCAAAGCTGAGCACAGTTATTTGGACTGAGCTAGCAACACGCTGGTTAAAAACAGAGTGGCTGAAAACTGAGGATCTGAAGAAAAGTGTTTGGTTTCAATGCAGTTCACGTGGCTGGTGTGCGAGCACAGCAGTTGTCTGCGAACGCCTGCTCCCAGGGATTTGTACAGCTGCGTTTTTTTCCTATTTCTATAACTTGCAGTTTGCTCTGAAGATTGTTTTTAATAAAAATAGGCATCCTCAGTCATGTGAGAAAGGTACACAAAAGTGAGCTGAGCTAAGTTCTTGATGTTGCTCTCCAGATGTGTGGAGGAAGCAGATTTTTCCAAGAGCTTTTTTTCCCTACTTTGAACTCCAGCCTAAGGAAGATTTTTTTTTTTTTTTTTTTTTTCCTTGAGAGGGAGAAATACCAACAAGTGAGAACAATGAATTTTTGACTCTAGTTTCTCTACCTGCAGTCTGTTAGGAGGGTGGAGGGCAGTGCTGCTGCAGCTTCTTATGCTCTCGTTCCCTTATCCCAATGGTGATACTGCTTTTTCCTATTCCTGTCTGCTGGCCAGTGTCTGCAGGGGGAATGTTTTCCAGCACATTGTAACCTCATGTCAAATCCCATTTACCTGTTGACCTGATTAGTGAAACAGCCTGTGGAGATGGATGATGTTAACTGAGATTTGCCGGCTGGAAAGTTAATGATTGCTCCTTCTCTTTAGGGCACTGAAAGGCCACCAGGCTTGTGGTTTGGAGAAGACTTATTGAGTCAGTAGAGGGAGGATGGGACTGGAGTAGCAGGCAGCACATCTCAACGCACTGACCAGTTTCTGGTGTTTTCTGTAGGGCTTGTGGATAATGAATCTGGCTGAGTACAGCTATGGATCAGCAGAGGAGATGCTGATGTGACTCAGGGCACTTCCACAGGATGTTCTGGAGGGGGAGCAGATAGATGCTCTTTTGCCATACTGGGCACAGGGGTGATCTTCCTAGGGACAGACATCTCCCTTAAATTCAAGATTTCTAGAGCCAAGGATGGTCTGTCTTTGTTATTTTTTCCTCCCAGTGAATGCTTGTTCTAAGGATTCAGGTCTTTTGGCAAAGCCCCATTAACTCATGGCTCTCCTTGAGCCCTTTTCGTCCGGCTGCCTGTGGCAGGAAACCTGCCGCCAGGTTTCTGCTGCCTTATCGCAATGGCTGATAACAGGTGGCTGCTCTTGGAAAGCTCTTTACCACTCCTCTGACCAGTAAAACTCTCCTTAAGTAACCTTACAACTCTATTCAGCTGTGGCTATTACCTCTTTGTGGGTGAAAGTAGCATGGTGGGGGGAGCCAGGGCGGTCCTGTTCAGCTTTTGTTATCCTTCAGTGTGTTTGAAGAGTGTTTATTTTACTTAACGGTGGAAATGCCAGCTTGTTCCTATCCCATGGCTAAAAAACCCCATTTTAAGCTGTCATAGTTCTTGACAGGCCTGAAAGGAAATTTGATGTAGCAAAGGCACTGATGTTCCAGCCATGGAAAAGTGGTTTTCAATGCAGGTATCTGAATTTTTAGACAGACTTGTTTCTAGAAAAGCAGCCATGCAAAGGTTGCATGGACTCTTGCTTTTGCCTTTGCAGTGGCTCCTGTACAGAGCTTGTAGCATGCCCCCTTTGCTGTGACAGCACTCAAGCGAGATAGGAAACAAGCCACTTGCACCTCTGCCACTGGCGTTATTTAATCCCATAATTATCCTCTTAAGCGGCAGCTTCCAGCTCCTCTCTTCGGCCTGGATTAAGTGTCCCACAATTGCAGGATGTGCCATGGGCATAATTACAGGCAATGGATGGGACATAGTTTTTAAAGACCTCTGAGCCTTTATTTCCTCAGGCCCAACTCTTAAAACACTTGAAAGGGAGAAGGGAAAAATCAGTTCCTGCAAAGAGATGTTAGGATTTTTTTTCCAGTTTTACCATGGGTCTTACAGTGTTTTCCATCTCACAGCTGTGTTTGGAGAAAGGGGACAAGAATGCACTTGTTTCCTGGGCATTGGTGCATGGCAGCTTTCTCTTACAAGAGTAGCTAAAATGTTGGTGTAAGGGACTTGGGTTAACCCCCCTTTTTTGTGTTGTGCTGGATGAACTCTGCTCGATGGCTGAGACGTTCTCCAGAGGAGAGCTGTCGGAAAGCTCTGGTCTTCTCTATCTGTTGAAACCCAGGTTTACATGCTCATAAGAGGGACTGAGAGATTCAATAGATAGAGAAGTGTCCCACGAGCTGGTGCTTCTCTTCCAGGGACTTTGGGCTGATGTTGCTGCGTCCTTGTAAGGTTTTGTTTCTCAAGATAAAACGTTTCTCAAGATGAAACTGTTACAGTTTCTCTACTTTTGAGAAACACAAAAGTATGGGGAGATGGAAAGAAACCAATTGGATTGTGATGTTGGATTTTTGTGTGGTCTGTTCTGCAGTGATGAGTAGCTTAGTCTGACCAGCACTTTGACGCTGCTAGAGGTGGATTTTCATGAGGTCAAAAATATTGATTTTATGAGACTTTTAAAGCATATTTCATCTTCCTTTATTCAGGCAAGGTCGTTTGCTTATTTGAGGTTAAAGATGAATGCTGGCCCTGTCTTCTGGAGAGAGAAATAGGTTAAAAATGGTGAAATCATGGTATGTCTTGAGGCAGGCCAACCAAAATCAGGGCAGTTCTTGTGGGGAGGAGGGGAAGGCTTGGATGATGGGCTGTTTGCGGCATGATCCCTCTCCTTGCTTGGGTTTCCGAAGCAAGTGCTGTGTGTGGTGATCACTGGGGACTAGGGAACTTCTCAAAACCACCCTCAGGTGAGCAGTTGGTGATAGCAATGGCTGCGGGAATGAAGATGAAAGGAGGGAGATGCAGGAGGAGATGCTGAGGCTGGCCGTGACTTTCACAAACATCTCCAAAATGCCCCACCAAGCCATCATGTTACTTTTCGCCTGCAGTAAGGCTATAAGGGAGAGAGGCCGGGCAGCTCCGATCCCTTCGAAGCATACACTCCTGGTTTTCATGGGTTGGTCTGCGTTGCTGTAGCCGGCTTGAACTGTGTTAAATGCTCATCCCTGGCTCAAGCATGCTTCAAACCTGCGTCTCCTGGCAATTTCTTTTATAAATGACTAGCGGGGAAAATAAAATGGCATTAATAAAAGCTGTTGGCTCCTTGCATGCAATGGGGCAATGAGAGGAGCCTGCGTTATCCACTGATGCTGCCTGCTTTGCCCTGGGCATGGTGTACCCAGCGTGATGGCCCTGATGCCCAGCAGCTGTTTCACGGTATGTCCCACCAATTGTAGCAGAGGATGCCCTGGGCGCCTTTAGCCCTGCAGCATGCCGATGGTGAAGGAGATGCTGTTCTGACTGCAGGGATGGGAAACGTGGGCTCAGGGTGGTGTAATTTCTGCTGCAGAGCAGGGAAGTGATCCAGAAGAGACATAATGAATTGTTTATGGTCTGTTAACTGTGAGTCCCAGATCATATGGCATTATCCACCCTATCCCAACCTTCTTGTCATGGCCTGTGCTGCTCTTGTGCTTTTTATCACTTGCCATCTCCTTTCTTCCTGCAGACCCCAGTAGTGGGAGTCCAGAGGTCCCCAGTGACCTGGTGGGAGCTGGTGCGAAGGTTGTAACCACTGGGGAAAACACGGTGTATTTTGTCACTTACGATTGCTGTAGACTCCATCATGTATTCAAAGGTCTAACCCAAATGTGTTTGGGTGTTTGGATGGTGTGGGTTTCAGAAGTCAGGTAATGATGACACCATGGGGTGGTTTTGGTGGAGCTGGGAAAGATCCTGTCCCGGATATGTGCGTTACCAGCAGAAGGAGTTGAAAAGTCACTGTTGCTAAAATGCCACCTGCAGACAAATGGCATGTGCAATTAGTGCTACCACCAGCAAACGAGGTGAGGTCTTAATCAAGACAAGGATGGGAAGCAGTAAGTGAGCTGGGCTTTCAAATTGGCTGAAGGCAGACTTTGCTGTGGCTTAGAGTGGCTCTGCCTGGGAGAAATGGAAGCTCCTTGCATGGGTCGCTGGCTTTCTAGGAGTCCCCTCATGTCCCAGGCTTTGGGATTGGGGCGGTAGGTCGCGTTTTACGGTGCCAAGTAGAAATGAAATGAAGTTTTTTGCTCCTTCTGGAAGACCTGAGCAGCTCTGGGGAACTGCTGCAGGCTCTCAGATGTGAATGCTGTGGGTTGGAGGCTCAGCGACCATGTGGTGGAGATAACACCGGGACCTGCTTGCTGGGACAAACAACTTGGCTGATCCAGCTGCGGGAGACGCCATCAGCTCCCTGTGGCAGCAGGTACTACCCGGTGAAGGAGAGGGCATGTGCTGTGTTTCCCAAGCCTGTCGGGCTGTGCCACGTTTGCTTATATGCAGCTTTATAAAGAGGAGGTGCAGAAGATTTCTCTGCTCCTTTCCTGGGTTTGGTTCAGTCTCTCTCCCCCACGTAGCTGTGGCTATGGCTGGCCTGAATGTCTCTGTTGCTTTTTTTTTCCTGGTTGTTGGGGTGTGCCAGGCGCTCAGGCGCCTTTCCAAGAGGCTTCTGTCTCCTGGAGCATATGGCTGCCTTGCCAAAGAACTTGCTGGCTCATTACAGTTGTGCATGAGCTGCCTTGAGCTGAGGATGCTGTTGGAGATTGGGCTGTGGGGGGGTGGCTTTGGCCTAGATGTGGTCCTGACTCTGCTCTTCCTCCTCTTTGTGGTTCACGGTGCCTCTTTCGATGGCGCGTCCGCCAACCCGACCATCTGTCTCCAGGAGTTCCTGCTCCTTGAGTCCAACTTCACAGCAACTGCTGCCAAGCTGCTGGCCCAGGGTGTGGGCACAGGGCTGGGCTGGGCTGTCACCAAGCTCTACTGGTCCTGGGAGCTGACGCCTTTCCACCTCATTCAGAACTTGATGGCGTCAGAGTGCAGCTCCTCCATCCACACACCTCTGCATCATGCTGCCTTTGTGGAAGGCACCTGCTCTTTCCTTTTCCACCTTGTCCTTTTCAAGTGGCGCCAGAGTCACCTGATGTACCGGGTCCTGGTGCTGGCAGCGACCGTCACCTTCTTGACCTACGCAGGTGAGCAGCACTTGCCTTTCTTTATCTAAGCCATTTAGAAAAATATCTAATTTGTGGGGGAGGAATGGTCCCTTTTTCCTTTTCCAGGACTTGAGAGGTAATGATTACCAAGACATTTGTTTTCTACTTATTTTGGGGATGAAGACAGCAGTTTAGGGTATCTAGGTAGCAGGTGTAATATCAGCACATGAGAAGCCATAACTTGCCCCAAGACTGGGACTGTTTTCCTTGACAGTCCCCTAACGCAACCCCTCGGTCCCACACCGAGATCTTTTGCTTCCCACAAAGCTCAGGGTGACGGGGTGGGATTTCCCTGTGTTCTGCTATTACACAGCCCAAGAGATGCAGCTGCTGGAGCTGGGAGGAGAGGTTGTGGGTCTCCTGTTCCAGCTCTTTGTCAGGTTTTCAAAGGATGCAAGTGGAACAGATGGCCATGCTCCTCTTCTCACGCAGCCGGACCATTCACGGGGGCCTTCTTCAACCCTGCCCTTGCCACAGCTGCCACCTTCCACTGCTCGGGGAACAGCTTTTGGGACTACGTCCAGGTTTACTGGCTGGGGCCCCTCACAGGTGAGATCTGCCCAGGAGGTACTGGGGAGCAGGAGTTGGCACCGGGGGCAGTGGGCAAGACAGAAGTGCTGGGCATAACACAAACTGTTCCTGGCAAAGGGCTGAACTTGGGTCTTGCCAGTAGCAAGCGTCCTTTTCTGTCCCCCTTCCCTGTCACTCGAGTCATCTCTCTGCTATCCATTTTTTTTAATCCAGTTTCTACATGGGGCATCGGCAAAACTCTCCCCGAGGCCAAAGTCTGGGAGAGATGAAGCAAAGATGTTTTAGGGCAACAAGCTGAGCTATGCTTTTGAGGTTGTCCACAGCTTCAGGATGACCATGGGGAGCTGAATATGTGCTGCCTTGAATGCAAAGAGTGGGAGCAGAAGATCGCTGGCATGGTTTATGGCCCTTTTGGTTCAAAACAAGCCTTGTTTATTGTATTAAAGACACAATAGTTAAATTCTCCTTTAAGTAATATAGCAAGGGTCTTTCAGATGCTGTTGGTGGGGACTTCAGTGGTGCTGAGCTACTTTTTGGTCATGATGAAGGTTGTGGCAAAGACCTGAAAATCACTGCTCAGCTGTGGGGAGGGTGGAGATGCTTGGTGCAGCACATGGAAGGTATCTGTGCTCTTGTTTCAGGGATGCTAGCTGCCCTCTTGGTGTTCCAAGGCAATATCCCACGACTTTTCCAGAAAAACCTCCTTTACAACCCAAAGAGCAAATACAAGATACCCAAGGCAAGGCTGTCAGCGCACAAGGAAGGTGACAAACCACAGCAGAAGATGAAAGGGGAGAAGAGCAACTTTGATCCTCGTGTCTGAGCCGCAGATGGGGCCCAAGGAGGTCCCTACAACCCCTCACCTGGGAGTGGGTTTCCTGGCACAGAGGATTTTGCTGCTCATCCCGCCCAGCATCCATCGTGGCCATTCAGTCCGTACTGCAGAGTGAGATTTTTTTAAAGCATCACAAAGCAATTGGCCAAACTGGCCTTACAGATGACTGAATCTCTGAGCTCCTTTCGGAATAGCTTTGAAAGTCTCCCTGGAGAGCCTAAAATATTTCAAACCTGCATCACTTGCATAAAGTGCCGGTTCTCTTGTATTGCCAGGAAGCTTGCAGAAAGTTGGGACCATTATGTGAGCAGGCTTGAGCAACTCCCAGGTTATTGCATCATGCCATGTTTGAAATAATCTGACTGGGTCTCTTGCAGTTGTAAAACCAAAGTGTGAACCAGTAACCGCCTTGGAAACTTGGGATGAGGGGGAAGCAGGCTCAAGACCTGGATATTGGTCAAAAATTGGTGTTCTTTGAGTTAAACTGAGGTCCTTGAATTGCACAGGCTGAACCTGGCAGTTCTTGGAGAGGAATTAAAAATGCTCCAGGGCAAGGGAGTTCACTGGCCACAGGAGACCGCGCTCCTCTGTGGACGTGGTGCTTAGCCTGGGTGTCATGTGTTGTAAGGCATCAAGAAACAGAGCACAAAGTGTCTGTGGTTAAAAAATGAGATCCACACAGCAGCTGTTGTGGGAGAACAAGTGCATCCCAGGGCTCCTCTCTGTGTTTATGTGAAATAGACCTAAAGATAAAATTACAGCTTGTGGAAATAATAAAAATAAATATTGTGATCGGCATTTGGGTAGAGTGATGTCATTCCCGTGAGCTCTGCCAGGGGGCATCAGCCCATCTGATCCCTGAAAATGCGAGACGCCATGGAGATGTCCAAACTGACTCTGCCTTGCCTGCCCCTTGCTCTGGAAGGGTGGAAATGCCTGCTAGGTAAGTGGGGCTCTCCCCAGGCAGTGCTGGGGCCAGGGCACCCCATGGCTGCTGCACCCCGTGAGTCTCTTCATGGGGAAAAGCAGAGGCTGGGGCAATCCCGTGTGCAGCATCCCTGGAGCAGGGCTGCTGGGCATGGCTGGATACTGAGCTGCTGCCCAAGAGGTCTCCCCTGCCAAAAAAGGCCAGTTCCTGCATTTTGCAGCAAACAGCCAATTTTTGCAGGACCTCTTGGCGCAGAAAATTCCCAGGCTGAATATATTCTTGATGCACCACGGCTTGTTGGAGCAATTGGCCATGTGCGTTCTCTGGGGCAGGCTGTGCTTTTTATGTGAGTGGTCACAGGGCGGACGCAATGCTGTGGTTGTACAAGTGTCCCTGCGCTGGGTTGCCTTGGCAGGAGCTTGAGCAGGGAAGTTCTGCTCCCATGTACCGAGTTGCAAACCGTGAATAAGGAAGTGGGACCCTATTAAAAGCCAGAGTGAAGGTGTCAGATGCAGGTTTGGTACTTGGGTGCGAGCCCTGCTCCTCCCTGCACCACCCTCCGTGTCCCCTGTGGGTTTGTGGGAGATGACCCTGGCTATGCTGCCCATGGGCTGCCCATCTCCCTTGATCCCATGTGGGATTGCCCTCTGGGATGAACCAGAGATCACCCAGGAACCCAGAGGGAAGCCAGACCTCTGCAAACCTTGAGACCACACCACATCCCAACAGGAGAACTGAGGGAAGGGACCAACGCAGCAATACATGGACATGCCTCAGAGATGAAACTTTATGGAACAAACAATGCCCCCAAAACGATGCAGCAAATGCCACAAAAATGATGCCCCTGCATCATGCTGGGCTGGATGCTCAGCACTGCCCTGTCCATTCCAGGGAAAGGCTGTGGGAACACAGCCTGGCTTCTATCCTGGTTGAGCTGTAAGCAGGAAATGGGACACCTTCAGGATGAAACCAAAACCTTTGAGGCTCTGCGTGGCTGGCCAAGGGAGAGCCTGGGATGCTCAGATCCCCACCGGCAATTTTTTTCTGAACCTCTTTTGGTTTGGAAACTGTGATGAAAATCCTGAGATGGGGACTCTGTTCATCCAAACTGATTTGCTGGCTCTGCTTTTGATTTGAAGATAAGCATAGGATGTGAAAAGTAAGGTTAACTAGCCCACCACAACCCCTTCTGGTGGTGTTTTTCCCAAGGCAGAGCACAGAATATTCCTACAGCCGCTCCAAGTGGTGGGTCGGGATGTCTGGCTGCAGAGATGCTCACGAGAGGTCTCCTGCGCGCATGGGTATTTAACTTGCAGGGATGCTGACACCGCGGTGTCAGTCAGCTCTGGGGTGGGATGCTGATCCTATAAATGCAGTGTACGAGTGCAGCATCTGAAGGTAACATGTAACCTCAGAGTCAGGACTGGATTTTTTTTTTTTCTCTAGGACATTTTCAGATGTTTGAGGTCTGTTTCTTGGGCTGCTGGGGAGATCATCTACTGGGCAGACTGATGTAATTAAGGGGAACTTAATAGGAGTGACATTGAATATTGTTATTTTTGATTAAAAGGCTGCTTTTTCAGCACAGTGGCATTAAAGCATAGTGGAGGAGAGCCACAGCTGGACAGACAGACTTGTTCCCAAGCTGTAAATCAAGCTCCGCAGCTCTGATTTACAGCTTGACCTGGCACAGGGCCAAGGACTTGGGCTGCCCTCTTGCTTCTGCTGTTGGACTTGGTGCTACACAGTGCAAAGCCCCGGATTGCCTCTTCCAAGGCTTCACCCGCCAGTCGGCAGCTTTGCCCTATTTGGTCAGGACCTACCCCTGGAAGGGTCATGACGTGTCGAGCCCCTGAGACCCCCTGTTGCATCTTGTCCCGCTCTGCAGCAACAGCGGCATGTAGCACCCAAGAGCTTGCGCACAGTCCTGCACAGAGAGAGGTGGCCAGGGTCTCTCATGGGCAGCAGAGTCCCAGCCTGCCTGCCCCTCCCTGGGGCAGAAGGAGCCCCTGAGCTCAGGAGGCGAGTGCCTCGCTGTCCTCAGCAAAGGCAGCTGGAAAACGATGCCTGGAGGGGACAAGGAGGCTCAGTTCTGGGTGCCCTCTGGCCTGTGCTGAGAGGGAGCGGTCTGGGGGTGCTTCTGGGAAAACTGCTTCTTGTAGAGAGTGCTGCTGTACTGCAGCTCTGGGGTTACCAGCCGCCGGCACATGTGCTCTGTCTCCTTGTCCAAGCCCTGCTTGAGGTTATAGCCCAAGATCTTTGCGCTGCCATGCTGCAGTGGCCGCAGGGAAGAGTCCTTGATGTCCTTCGGGGCCACGCTGCCCATACCTTGCAGGCAGGTCCTTGCCAGCTCTGTCTGCCTCTCCTGAAGCACCTTTACTTCCCGCTGCATGCGCTCCCTGCCAAAGTCTTGGTCAATCCTTTCCCAGAAGGTCCTGTTGAAGTGGGTGTAGATTTCCCAGTCCAGCCTGTTCCAGTTCTTTATCTTCTCCACAATAGTGTCTGGGAGGGGGGACTTGGTGCTGCTGTCCCTGCTGTTGAGCGGGAAGGAGACGATGCTGTCCAGGTCCCAGCACAGCATCTCCTTCAGCAGCACCATGGACTCGTCAAAGTACTCAGAGATGAGGAGTAAGTCAAAGGATGCCTCGATAGCCTTCAGCATGAGTTGCACCCGCTCAGCGGAGACCTCTCCATCGGGGTTGAAGCCAAAGTCGAATGTCATGAGGTTCCTGGCATAGTGGCTGTCACCCTTTGAGGGGTTGTAGTAGCTGTAGGGCTGGCTGAGGAACTCCTCCAAGCTGCGAGCGCGGGAGAAAGCTGACGTGCCCTTGTAGTACATGAAGGAGGACTCCATGAGCTGCACAGGGTTCCTCAGAATGGAGAAGTAGATGGCTGAGCTGGACACCACTTTCTGCACCTGTGGAGGAGAAAAAGGAGGTTTTAAAGGTGGGGTAGGAAGAAGTGCCCTGCTCTCTTGCAATCTTGTGCACGGCTGGAAAGCAGAAACGCTCACTGGGGTTGTAGATGGTGGGTGTTGGGGAGGGTTTCAGGGTGCAGCTCATCAAAGGAGCACTTGTGTCAGCTATGGGGAGCCCCAGAAGAGGTACCTGGGGACAGCAGTGACCAAAGCTCCCCACTACATGCTGCAACATCTGGGTGGCCTGTCTGGGCTTGAGGTATGTCCTGCCTCCTTGCCTTTCCCCGGATCTGCGTGTCCTCAAGTAGCATCCAGAAGGGGGGATGCTGGGCACAACAGACTTGAGCTGATGCACTTAAGGCATTCTCCTCTCGCAACTGATACCCTCTGGGCCTGTCCTGGGAGCAAGACATCTCCAAGGGCCCACCAGACAAGAATGAGATGGCAGTTGCTGACTGCTGCAGACGCTGTCCCCTGTTTACAGAAGTGCTCAGGAGATACCCATAACATGTAAGGTACCTGGGGGAAATCTTGTCTCTCTTTAGCTTCATCCAAGAGTGCTAGGTGTCTCACCTTGCTCCCCATGAGCCACACTCTCCCTCCCCCATTCGCCCTTCCCAAGACACCATGGCTTTGCCTGTACCTCCGGCTGCAGAAATCGCATGTGGTGGCAGAGGATGTTGAACCGCTGAGGGCTCCTCGGGGAGAAGCCCTGCACGAAGCTCGCCAAGAAGTGGCGTGGGTAGAAGAGCTGGTTGCCGCCCCCAATGGGGAAGGCGAAGGTGAGGTTATGTGTCTCACCGAAGCGGAAGAGGATGTTCATGACAGTGCTGCTGGCGCTCTTGTGGACTTTTAGGAAAACAATGTCAGTCTTGGGCTTACATGTCTCCGCTCGAGAGGAGACTCCTCTGTCCTTCTGGTCTTCTTCACGTGTCACCTGCTTAACCTTAGAGACTTCTGTCTGGCTTGGGAAAAGTCCTATCTCCAGGTCTGTCTTGTAAAAGCCCTCTGCCTGTGGAGGTTGAGCTGAATCTGGCATGGCGTGCTTAAGTGAGCTGCCCCATTGATGGCGGGGGGAGCCCATAGCTTGAGGCTGAGACTGGCTCTGTACCACTACCCGTGTCCTTTCTGGTGGTGACATTCTCCTGTGCTCCTCTGCAGTCATCCTGTTGGCAAGGATTGTGAACTTGCTGGTAATCGCATCAGCATCTCCCCAAACTGCAGAGATCCTCCCAGGAAGATTTGGAGAAGGACCCTCTTTGGTTGTTTTTATCAGCCTGGGAAGCTGTGCTTTCAGCCTCGTGGATGAAAGATGGGCTTTCACCTTCCTGTTGCTCTCCACAGGCTGCCACGTCCAGTGCTCCTTTTGGCTGCTTGGGCTGCTTTCCAGGGGTGTCTCCTGGCTGAAGTACAGATGCATCTGGAAAACGTCCTGCACGCTCTCAGTTGAAGTGGGGTCTAGCATGGCTTTCCTCTGCCCATGCGGGGGATCGTCCTCCCACAGCTGGTGAGGGGTCTGGAGGGCATAGCCGAGCTGCTTCTGGCCATGGTCCGCGGTCTGCTGCAGGGCATGCTCCAGCTTGCAGTGGCAGTTTCTGTAACATGGAGGACGCAAGGCTCAGCTGCAGAGAATGGAAGGAGAGTGCAAAGAAGGCAGCCCCTCTGCAGCCAAATTAACCCCCCCCTGCAGACACTCCAAAGCATGTTCCCCTGTCTTTCTTGGGGTGGGTGGCATTGCTGGTGAGTGTAGGACTTGACTACTGCCCTGGGAGGTCGGGGTGGGCACGAGAAGAGAAGAACAGGTCAGCGATGGCCCTGTCCTGGAGCATGGTGGGCTTGTGGAAAGGGGCAAAGCAAGAAGATGCAAGGAAAGAGGAGAGCAAGTGACCTTGAGGAGCTGGAGGAAAGTTTGCAGATGACCCCAGATTGGGATGACTGGGAGGACACTCAAGGGCTGTAGGGTTTTGAGGCCAGCCAAGACAAAGCCCAGAGCAGCCTGGTCTGAAGGCAGAGTGGGCTCAGCTCTGGCCAGGGTGTAGGCCTTGGACCTGAGAGCCTCAGAGGGGTCCTCTCCCACCTGGATTTTCCTCCCTGTCTGAAGAAGACAGTGTTAGGTGCTTTTCAGAAGGGCGGTTCTGAGCCCATCTCAGTAGTCAGCGAAAGGCTGGTGGATGAGGTGCAGGTTTGCAGTCCTGCTTGGGACTTACCTGGGAGGCTGCAGCTTCTCCACGACTTGAAGCGTGAACAAGAGGAAGATGAGGAGGCTGAAGAAGACCCAGAGACGACCTGGCTGGCACCTGTATATTGCTTTCAACTTCCTGCAAGGAAGCAGACATTTTAGGCCATTAGTAAGTAGAAGAAATGCATGTGTGAGGCAGAGGGGAAAGGCGCTTTGAGACTTTTTAGCTATTTTTTTTTTAAGGTAAGGTCATGTTTCACAGGTGGAAGGGGTGCGGAGGCAGCGATAAGCAATGAACCTCAGAGGCTGTGCTCAAGCAGCATAGCCTAGTGGAAATTTCCATCTGGGACACAAATATCGCACTGAAAGGTAAACAGCGATAACTACAAAGTCCCTTTGGCTGCTCAGAAACGCCTTACCGGCACAGTCTGAGCTCCCACTTTGGCCGCAGGAATAGGCACTGCTTGCATTTTCCCTACCCTGCCTGGCCTAGAAACATCAGAACCCTATCTTTATAAACAAAGAGAATAAAACTTTGTTTTCCCTGCTCTCCCTTTCTCTCCACACCTGCCGTTGGAGGCAATTGCCACCTGTGCAGGCTCCAGCTGTGGCTGCAGATGTGATGCTACTGTGGGGGCATCAGCTGTGCCTCTCCGGTGCATGACCTGGCTCTTAGTCTGGTTTTAGCCAAGTCTACAATGGCAGCGTGATTTCTTCAAGTCATCAGCACTACACTATGGGGCTTTGGGTTCTCTGTGTGGACATTCAGATCATAACAAACATTGCCACAGGACTTCCACTGTTTGTAGGACTTGCTGCAAACCCTGGTGGAGCTTGATCGTAGTCTTAATCTTAAGCAGAGCAGTCCGGGGACTAAGTTTCCTGGAAAAAAAAGATTAGTTCACGTTTCACTTCTGCTGGTTTCTACCCAGGGAACATATTGTTGCCTAACGGGAGATCATTTGTACTGAAATCGGGTTAAATCCTCTGTTGTGGGCTCCTCCTTGGGTGGGAGTCCAGCCTGCAAGCCCCAGATGTGTTCCGATAGCTAATCTGTGTTTCTTGATCTTGCCTGCTTCCTTCAGTGGTCAGGTTTGGACCAAGAGAGTGGGCCTGGGACTGCACAGACCTGCTTGTCCCAGAGATTCTTCATCTCCATGGTGCTTTGTCTCCTACTCTGGGCAGTCTTGTGACATGTGGGAGAAGCACTAGCTTGATGAGCTAGCAATGACACAAACGTCGGCTCTCTGAAGTGGCCACATGCATCCTGTTGGTACCGGGCAAGAGTTTGGGTTTGCTATTGAAAAACTGGATCTGTTCCAGAAAAATATTCAACTGTTATGACTAACTGTAGTTTGCTTATTACAGCACTGCTTCCAGTGCTTGTGCATCAGTTTGGACACTCATAGGTATGGTTCTGCTCTGCTCTCAATAACGTCACCTACTGAGTTGAAATGCTAAGCTTCTCCTGGGAGATTTTTAATGTCTAAAGCACTTGGGACTGTAAAGGCTGGGAGGTCTTCCGTTATGACACTGCTACTGAAGATTCAAAAGGCACCTAATTACTAGCATGATGACAACTAGTCGTCAGCAGCACAGCATCCCCAAAACCTGATGGCAACCTGGAAGTATCTGTGCTCATTTTCCACTTGAGGAGCAGAATGCCAAGCTCACATGAGCTCACTGACAGGCCATGCATCAGCACAAGGAAAGCCTCATGCCGTCAAAGATAAATGGGTATAAAAAGCAATGGATCAGAAAAATGCCAAATGCTTAAATGGCACTTAAAGTGCCAAGACATGTTGAAGGGAGGGGGTTGAAGTGGAGACTCGGGGCTGCCTCAGAGGTGCTGCATGGCAAGGCTTGTTGAAATACGCCTGTGTGGAAGATCACTGATGGCCAGAGAGACCAAAGAGGGAGAAGGCAGTGGAGGAGGAGTTGCTCCAAGATGATGCTGCTGGACAGATCTTGTTGGAGACTTGATCCAACTCTCCCATCACTCAAGGCACAGCTGATGATAAGTTTGTTTACCTGGCCAGCCTAAGAAAAGCAGCAAGAAGAGAATGAAGACCTAACTGACTCTGATATTCAGCGATAGATCCAAACTCTTTCTTCAGGAAGATCTGCATGAGCACCCAGTATTGAAGGCAGAGTGATGCAACGCTTCCCCAGCAAGCAGCACTTAGGTAAATGGCACCCTCTGCTACTCCAGTACCTGTATTTTGTGCAGATATGATTTTGGACTTGCTTCCACAGAGGTCCCTGGTCAGTACTAAACTTGCAACCTGTAAAGAATCTGTGAAAGATCCAGGTCCTTCTTCTGCCCGCCTGCTGCCTCTTTTGAGATGGCCGTTGTGTTTGTTGAACAGCCAGTTGAGAATGCACAACGCATTCCTGGCTGCTTGGGTCTGATCAGGCTAGCAAAAAGGTCTTCCTCCAGGCTGGCTCTGGTGGGACACACGTGCATCAAGGAGGGTGCACTGAAAAAGGGAGAGCTGTGGCAGCACTGAAGTTTGTATTGAAGATGCCAAGAAGTTGCCCTGCAGGCAGAAAAAACAGGACAAAATGGCTGGTGCAGCATGAGAAGCCTTTGTCTTGGAGGCTGGAGCAGCTGGATGATTTGTAGCTGGACAATGAGCCTTCAAAAGGCTCCACTGCTTTCCATGGGTAACTCCTTCACAGCCTTCTCTCAGTTTAATATGCCAGGATGAGATCACAGGTGTGGGTGTCTTGGAGTAGAGTTGAATACTTGAGATCAAATTACCAGGAAGATGTCCAAGATGCACTCAGAGCTGGTGGGCATCAACGCTGTCCTATAGAGTGGGCTGGGCTGTGAGAGCAACCTGCAGAGCCTTTGGAAATGTCTTGGGCTGTGGGCAGGCTATAACTGAAGAGCCCCCACAGATCAGAGCCTGTGTACTGTCACCTCCAAAAGTGACAAAGCAGGGTGCAAAGATGGAAGCAGCACCCCAAGGATGCCTTTGGCTGCAAGGGCTCAGCAGCAGAGCCACAGCAGCTGAGTCCTCCTATGCTGGCTTGATTAATTTAATCAAAACCCAGTCTGTTGGTCATTCATTTGCAAGGGGCGATCCCCCAGATGTGTCTTGCTGCCTGCTTATGGCAGAGGAAGGGGTGCCTGGGGTGCTGCTTGGAAGCAGGTACTGCTTGACTACAGATTTCCCCTCCATTTTTTTTCCCTCTGCTTGAAGCAGAGAGGATGACCTGCTTCCTTTCGACCTGTGCCCCTTCCCTGTCCAACAATAAAACAAATGCACTGGTCTGAATGGGTCTATGGTTGGCTGGCATTTACTGAGCCGTGCAGGGTCTCAGCTGACTGCCGGGTGCTGTAAGAGGTGTTGAGACAGAGTTCACCAGACAGACAGGTGGCAGAAAATTACTTTATTGATTTGCTGGGGCTAGATATTCTCTAGGCAGTGAGTGATGCTGCATGGGGAATTAATGTACATGATATGTATACCAGCGATAGTCTGCTTCCCCTGTCTAGCGACTGGAGCCATTTTCTTCACTTACATTGCAATAAATGAGGAAAAAGGGACAAAGGTCTGCAGGATGCTCAGGAGAAGATAACATAGCGCAGTGAGGGCACAATGGCACTGCCTGCCTGTGTTGGTGTCCAACCTACCCTTGAAACAGCTGGGTTAGGAAAGACCCCGAGCCCCCTAGCACCACAGCTTGGTGTGCAGCAGCAGGGTGTGCATCGCCCCAGATGCTGCAGGTGCGTGTGGAAAGGCTGTCCTGCCCTGAAAGGCTCTCCCCCCAGCAGAAGGGCACTGTCGTGAAGTCGAGCCTTGCCCTTCTCTGTTCTTCATCCATCCTTTCCGAAATTGAGGCTGC